TAGGATACTGTCCTTAAATTTTCAAAGGTTTTTCTCTATAGTAGAGAAGTAATGGTCTTTAGCTTGAGCAGGATACATTTTGGGAATTATTAGATGATAAGCAATACATGATAGATGATAAATTCAGTTGAGGAGAGTAAATAAAACTAGTTTCTCTGTGTTTTCATGTTACATGTGAAAAGTGCTGATGTGTTAGCTCCACAGATACAAATCCTGAAGAAAGAACTGACAAGTGGGTTAGAATAAAAGGATCTTGGACTCATTTATCACTGGATTAGGGAAGTAGCATGCACATGGAGTAATCTGTCCAAATTACAGTCTTCATTCAGAGCCTGTCATTCTGCTACCATGTGTGGTCATTAACTGAGGGCAAATGTGGCCAAACTGAAGCTGCTGCATCTTTAAATTCCCTCCCTTGTCATCTTGACCATAATTGAGCAGCATCACCAACCTGATAGAAATTTCTGGAAAAAAAAAAACCTTGAGGGAGGACTCTCTTCTGGCAGACTTTTTTGCTATGTAAGCTCTAAAAAATCTCAAGTTTGTGGGATTTGAGCAAAATTAATTTATTTTTCCTCCTCCTAGTTTTTGAGGGGTTCCAAAGTGCTGTTATGAACTTGGTGTGTGAAGTAAAATGCTACAGTTAAAATGCAATGGTTACTGTTGATGTAGTAAAGTTTTGTTTATTTTAGGCAGTATCTAGCTGTAGTGTTTAAAGACAAACCCCTGGAAATCTGGGATGTCAGAACATGCACTCTGCTCAGAGAAATGTCAAAAAACTTCCCGGCAGTGACGGCTTTGGTAAGCAATGACATCTCTGTTTGCTCACCATTTATTAAATCTAATGTGTTCAGATATCATAATAACGTTTTATCACAAAATTGTTCTTTTTTTTTTTCTTAATTTGTAGCATGCAAATAAGTGCTTTCACCCTTCCTTTTTCTTTTCTTCATCTGTTATCAAGTAGAGGGAAGAAAAAAGGAAATACTTGGTGAAAAATTGGTCCGCTTCTTGGGAGGCGGGAGGTGAGGAATCAAAGAAGGCCATTTTCAATGAAATCATTATAATTAGCAAAAGAATCTCCAATAAATTTAGGGAGTAAAAACTTATATTTTCCATTTTTACAAAGGAATGGTCACCTTCTCATAACTTAAAAAGCTTGAGAAAGAAGCAGCTGGCAGCTCGTGAGGCCATGGCTCGACAGACGGTTGCCTCAGATACTGAAGTCAGCAGCGTAGAGTCCTCTGTTATCAGGTATTTCTGATTACTATTTCATTTATTGCTGTAATGCATCGCTTGTTTTGCACTGCATACTGTTGCTTTATAGAGTGGAATATTTTGAAACTGGCATTTGGATATGTAGCAGGTTACACAATTTTCTGGGCTTCTTTTAGTAACTAAACAACATAAGAAAGCTTTTAAATGTGGAACTTTGATTTTACTGCTGAATGACATAAACAGTGTAGCAAGCAGGACTGCTTGTTAGCTGCGTGGTTCTTCAAGTAAAACTTTTTATTTTCCCCTTGAACACTGCCACAAGTATGTAAATGATTTCTTTTCTGGTAAATTGCTTTGAAGAAAATGCACATTTTTATGTAACTTCTGTTAATAGTTAGGGAGATTTTAACTTGCAATTCTGATTTCAGGTCCTCCCTCTGTCTCACTGGGTTCTTTCTAGTTTGTTACAGGAAGCTGAAAGTAAATCTGAGCTGAGCCAGAACATTTCTGCCAGGGAGCACTTTGTGCTTACGGATAATGATGGACAGGTTTATCATCTCACAGTAGAAGGAAACTCAGTAAAAGACAGTGCAAGAATTCCTCCTGATGTGAGTTCCAACTGTCTGTGCTTTACATCTTCTTAGTTGCCATAGAGGGGAAAAAAAACTTTGGGAAAATGCTTTTTAATGGCAAGTGGTCACTAAATTCAGTTGCTTGAAATATGAAATAAATTTTTAAATATGAAGTCTGTAATACTTCTCTATTTTTCAAGTTTTTCTGGTTTTCTATTTTGAAAATATTGGAATAAATGTTTTTAATGTTTTTTGAAATGCTTGTTTCAGTGTTTGGCCTTATTAATGATGAGATTTTATTTTGCTTTCTAAATATTTCCAGGGAAGTATGGGTAGTATTACATGTATTGCCTGGAAAGGGGATACTTTGGTTCTTGGAGATGTTGATGGGAACTTAAACTTCTGGGACTTGAAAGCTAGAGTATCCAGGTATGAGTGCAAATTCAGTTTGACAAACATAAGCTAAGGATTGCTAGAATGTGTTTATCATTTCTCTTCACTGTGGATGGTTATCTGTTTGGCATTTGGCAAAACAATATAAATATTTCAACATAAAATTTTAAAAATACCTTCGACCTGACAATTCTTTATACTTCCCAGTTTGTTTTCAGCTGATGTGAAGTATTTTATCGAAGTTTTAATAGTAAAAGAGATTTCTCACTATAGTAAATCTGTAATGTTTTCTGATAAAACGCTAAATGTTGTAGTATGTTTCAGGTATCTAGTCTTTTTTCATGATAGTGTGCATAACCAACTGTGTGTGTGTATAAACGTAGGTACATTTGCACACATACATATGCAGCACCAGGATGTAATTCTTATGGAGAGGACCTAATAGCCCTCAGTATTAGTTGCAGCATGAGGAATGTTAACCTTTCCCTTTTCCTAGGGGGATCCCTACCCACCGAAGCTGGGTGAAAAAAATCCGTTTTGCCCCAGGGAAAGGAAATCAAAAGCTTATTGCAGTGTACAATGATGGAGCAGAAGTTTGGGATGCAAAAGAGGTACATATCTGTTATGTCTAATATGCATTTTCTTTGCAAAATACACATTCCAGTTCTCAAAGTCAAGAAGAGTGCTCAGAGTTTGAGATTTACTTAGCCATTATTCCTTGCTGACAACTATATAGTAAAGTTGTTTGACTTTTCCCAGGGGACTTCTAGTTCATATAAAACATTTCAAAAATCTTCAGGGATTTGCTTTCTATGACTTTCAGGAGTTTATAGTTACTATGGGAAGGGAAGAATTGTTATATCATTTTAGCTTAGCCCCTTGGAGTATATTCGGGGTATAAAGTTTATTTTATGTTTATTTTAGTATTTCAGTTTTTTTTTTCTGTTCACTTTGTAGTAAGCACCAATTCCTAACATGGACTTTAATCTGTGTAGTATGAAAATATCCTTTAACAGTTCAAGTTGGAGCAGATGTGACTAACAGCTGTGAATTACATAGGCAGACTAGAACGTCACGAGTGTCTCCTTCAAGAACATTTGAAAAGTTTTGATGCTGCGGGATGTTCCTTCGGTAGCTGTCCCCTCTTCTGGGACAAGAGAAAGGGCTTCCCACATGAAAATCTTAAAATGCATTCAGAACTTCGGCTGAAAAATCTGTAAAAATATTAGTCTCACTCCTGTAATCCTTATAAATCCCTCTTTAGAATCTCTCCTTTTCCTACAACTGGTTAACTACTATGTCCAATAATGTCTTCAGCGCTAAAACTGATCAAATCTTTGTATATTGCATCTTTCTAACTCAATACTTTGCTCTAGAACAAGCAAAAGGAAACAGCAGAATGTTGATTATAGTAGAGGCTTTGGTAACATTTCCTCATATTAACATTTTTAATGTTGTGTTGCAGGAGGGTAGCAAAATCTGACATATGGTTAAAAGTACAGCTATCTTATCTAGAAATAAATTTAGACTTTCTTATAGCTTTATAAGTTCAGTATTCAACAAGAAAGCATATGTTTATGAAGAGAAAGAGTTAGGTGATGAGAACCTCACTTTTGTCCAGATTAAGGCACTGGAGTTAGAGATCATGTACATTCTCACCAGTTTTCTCTAGAATCTTTATTTAAGAAAAGATACCCCAAGGGCAGCTACTGAAAAAGATCCTCCCACATCTTGGTTGGGAAAAGGAATTGGGCCAGGGCAATTACAAGTCCTTCTCCAAGGTTTCTAATTTTTCAACTTTCCAGAGGAGACAATTATTAATGATTACCTTTTATTGCAAGTTTTGCAGTATGTCTTATGGGAGTGTGACAGAGTATTGCACTGTATGATAGAGAGCCTGCTAAAAATGAAACATATCTCAACTTTTCAAGATACAAATGGTGAGCAGTTTAAGAAGCGGCAGGAATGTCACTTTCCGGATCCTGGATGTAGACTGGTGCACCTCAGACAAAGTCATCTTGGCCTCGGATGATGGGTGCATTAGAGTCCTCGAGATGTCCATGAAACCATCATGTTTCAAAATGGATGAACAAGACTTAGTAGGTATGATAGATTTTTTTCTTTTGCTCTTGATTGCTAGATATTTCATTTTGAAAATGGACTATAAAAATGCTCAGGACTTCTAGTAGGCCAGGGAAACATATATAGATCCATAGGCTTAGGAAATATGGATGTTTTTACAATAAATGTTTAGTCTCCCAAGTAAGATATAGTTTTAATATTTTAATTGAAATATAACTAACAAAATATGAGTTTTTTTACAGATGTCTAGAAAATTAATGTAAAAAATATCATAGCATCGTACTGAAATGCATTGCATGATTTTGTAAGATCTGTTAACCTGACAGTGGTGGGGTTCTTTATGAAATGTCCAGATATTGCAGCCTGCTTGTAGACCAATTCTTTGCTTTCCGGATTAGATTTTCCCACTAAACTTTAAACTGTTAGTAGTTAATGCTGTTTGTTTTTTTTTACCATACACTTAAATAGGGAATTTAGTTATACTACATTTATAGTCTCAGGGGACAAACACAGTATGCAAATAAATGGAAATGCTGAGCCAGTTGAAATAAATGTTCAATGAATTACTATTAAAAATGAGAAATGTTTTATATATTTTGCTGTTTATGTCAAAATATCTTTGTTTACTAGTCAATTTTTGTCTAAATAAAAAAAATTAAATTGAAAGTTCAATTTAGCAGCACAATTGTTGTAAACATACCTAAATATAACAAAAAATTCATTCATATATAATTAAGAAATTGATTTGAGAGTGTAAACAAAAATTAAGAATTGGAATATTGTGAGAAGATTTGAGCTTCTCAGTACAAGAGGGATGTGGACCTTCTAGAGAGGGTCCAGCAGAGAGCAACAAAGATGATTAAGGGACTCAAACATCTGTCTTATGAGGAAAGACTGAGCGAGCTGGGCCTGTTTAGCCTGGAGAAGGTTGAGAGGGGATCTGATCAACATGTACAAATACCTGAGGGGAGGATGTAAAGATGGGGCCAAACTCTTCTCGGTGGTGGCCACCAACAGGACAAGCGGTAACGAGTGTAAGTTGAAACCCAGGCAGTTCCATCTCCATGTGAGGAAGAACTTCTTTCCTGTGAGGGTGTCAGAGCACTTGAACAGGCTGCCCAGGGAGGCTGTGGAGTCTCCTTCTTTGGAGATCTTCAACCCACCTGGATGCCACCCTGTGCCCTGGATGTCCCTGCTGGAGCAGGAGGGTTGGACTGGATGATCTCTAGAGGAACCTTCCATCCTGTGATTCTGTGTACTTGCCTCGGTTTAATAAATTAGAGTTTCTTTCTGGTAAGTTGTTTGAAATCCAGCAACTAGGAACCCGGATGGACTGAAAATTTTATGTAAATTGGTATCTTTTGTTTTACTCATGATGTACCACACTGACAGTAATGACACCAACTTGCATTCATGCTTGAATATTTTTCAGACAGAATCCTTAAGAAAATATCATCCTAAAGATAGGCTGCTTTCTTCTACTTCTCTCACTCTCTCTCTTTTTATTTTTTTCCCTTTCCCTTCCCTCAGATAGGGGCTTCAAATCCAATTCCTGTGCTATTTGCAAACTAACAGCCACTCTTGGATACTTCAGTTGAAATAAAATCTTTTTATTTCAGCTGTCAAAGAAGCAGTTTGATCTAATGGCATGTTATAATAAAAGGAGAAAAATACTCAGTTTCTTAGATGTCAAAAGTCTCTTCTCTGTAATCTAGCTACAGCTTTTAGGCAATCGTCAATATTTTACTACAAGAAAAACAAAATCCTGAAAAGTTGAAATATATTGCAAGATTTAAGAGTCTGCTGGGGTTTGCTTCTAGAAAACCAAAACAAACTTCTAGAGATAGTAGTTTTTCAGTTTCAAATACATAAACATCTTTTTCTTAAAAAAAGAAAAAGAAAAAAAAAAACTTCTTTCGTGTTTTTCCTAATTCCCTCTGTTAGTGGTGATTACTGCAGCTTCTAAATGACTTGGACTTATGACCAATTGTTTTCAACTCTGATGGAAGGAAAGTTGTTTCATTTCTCTCATGTTAATATGTTAATTATCCAAGCAAAGAAAACTCTGCAGTCGGCTCCTGAAAACTCATGGCAAAGGCCAGTCTACTACGGAGGGAGTCCCGGGTGGGTTCCCAAGGCAAACAGTTTACCTCCTGACAGACAGTTTTACCAGAAATATCACCCATTTCAATGGCTGAAGATAAAACTATGCTCATGAATAAAGATATCTGTTTTTTGTACTGTGTCCTGAGAACTTGTGCTACCCTTTCTGTGACAGCCACCCAGACACATTCTCTTATTCTGATGCCCTCAGTGAAGTACTGGGGTAGAAAGGGAGCAAAGGATAAATGTGGACCCTGATTCCAGATCCTATTTCTGTGGTATTCATTTCATAGTGTTCTAGAATTCTTACCTTTATTAGGAGGGGGAAAAAAAAGATGCAAGATATCTTGAGTGCCTTTTGTTTTTCAAAGCTTACCTGTGATTTAACTCTGCTTCTGCCTATATACTAATTTTTAAATTCAACAATAATGCTTATAAGACACATGTATCATGCAGACCCTATGAATGACAGTGAATGATTATGTAATAATGTAGCTAGCTGGTGTTTGTTTTCATCTGAAGTCACTGGGTAGTATTTACTGCATTTCATCCAAACCTCATACTGAATATTCCTGACTTAGTTTGTATGACAAATAGTTGGTCCAATAATTTTCATCCCATTTCTTATCTTATTTGTAGATGTAAACATGTGTTTAACCCCCATTTTATACTGAAGAAGATATGATTGCAAATTAAACTAAAATTACTACCTGCTAGTTGGATATGAATGCCCAAATAATTAGTGCCTTTTATGATCAATTTTCTGCAAATTGATATTTGAGCTTCTGAGCATTTAATTTTGTGAAATATGATGTCTTGTAAATTCAGTTTTTCTGAAGTTCTCATTCCAGCATGGTAGAAAACCGTGGGCCTTTTATGAAATATTCTTGCTTGAATGTAACAATAAGTTTTTAGTGTCTAGTAACTCGTGGTGTGTTTATGAAAAGATGTGATTTATGACTGTCTGTGAATAGAGTGTTATTGCACATAAGTCACTCAACAATGAATCTTTTCCTTTTCTTTCAGAACCTGCATGGTGTCCCTATCTCCTTGTTCCAAGAGCTTCGCTAGCTTTAAAAGCATTCTTACTGCATCAGCCATGGAATGAGAAATACTGTCTAGATATTTCACATGTGTAAGCAAATATATACGTATATATTTATGTGTGTGTGTGTATATATATATATATATATAGCATATATATATATATATCCAAAAAAGTAGTTGACAAAGAGGAGATGACAGGTCATAGGTGTGCGTAGGACATGGAAACAAAAGAAATGAACAAGGAAGGAGTAAGTCAGATTCTTATAAAATCCTGTAAAGGGATCCATGGGAATGTGTGAGCATGGACAAGAAAGAGAAGAGGTGAAGAGTTTAAGAGTTCTGTTTTGTGTAGAAATTCATAATATCTGCAGGTTTGTGGCAGTGAGGAAGAGGTCAGTGCTGGAAGGACTAACTAGTTGCAGATGTTGCAGCAATTTATGTGTTTCGTGAAATGCGTAAGGCAAAGCAATAAGGTTGTTGATGCTACTGCAAACAAGGAAGAGAAAAATAAGAGTAAGTTGTAAGAAAAAGGATTATAGAAAAGAATTGAACAAGATGTTGAATGTTTTAGGGTACTTTAACTTCAATGTGAATGAATAAAGAGAATAAGAGGAGGGAAAAACATTACTGATTCAGTGAGGTTGAAAGAAATCAAAGATAGTCTTTAATTGTGTTTTAGAACTATTAGCTAGTGAAAAAAAATCTTGTATGAGTTGCTTCCATAAGAAAACGATAAAAGATTCTCATATACACTCTGGTATTTTCTACTACTAATAATTCTCTGATGTTTCAGATAATAGTTTCAATTTTTATTTATTTTCTTAATGTAGTGATTATCCAGAAAATGAAAATATTAAAAACCTGATGCAAGAGCAACTGAATTCGTTGTCCAAGTAAGAATCTTTTTATTAAAAGTACTAAGGTATTTATTGCATTCAGAGAAGGAACAAAATCAAAATTTTGATAATTGGCAATGTAATGAAAAATGCTTTTTTGACTCATTAAAGATAAGCTTTGAGTACTAGCAGCTTTTAGTTTAAATGCATTTAATAACTTCTGTGTAATTCCTAAGGATGACTATTTATTCATTTGTTAGGAGGGAAAAAGAGACTTACTAAACTGTAATATATGTTTAAAATATATTTTTTAATGAGCAAGCTATCTTGAAGTAGTTTGTTAAATAATGACTGAAAAATCAAAATGTAGTGTTCTGTATATGTAAAATGGCTTGGAAGTCATTGTTTTTAACACAGTCTTATTGTAATAGTGGCTGCCAACCAAAGATTGAAAGATGCTGATTGCAATCATTATATGGTTTCTAATTTACTGGTGAGCATTTGCAATTTATTAGCCAGAGCTTCTCCATGAATGGTCATTTGATGTCGAGTCTGTGTTGCACTTGAAGGACGCTGCTACTTAAATACTCCAAAGTTTGTTAAGACATTTAAACTCTGAGGCAGGAAAAAAAGTCATTTTGAAAATCTTCTGTTGAAGATACAGCTCTAGAGTAAAGTTCCTGCTGTGGATGATTCTTATTTACAGTGCTCTGCTTAGGCAGAAATTTCTGTATTGCATATAAAATATAAAAATTATTATTCAAAACTAGGAATCATAAGTCTTGTCATTTTCCTTTCCTACTTTGACTTAATAGGATAGTTCTTTTTTGTTTCACTTAATAGGATAGTTTTTTCTTTTTTCTCAACTATTTTGAAAGCCTGCGTATGGATCTCTTAAATTATGCTACTGAATAATTGTGTAGTCATTTGTGAATATTTTAATCTTGCAGTCAGTACAGTCACTGCAAGCTAAATTATAGCTTCTTCTACACCCATATGGTTGTTCTCTTTATTACAAGAGTTAAGTGTAATTTACAGGCTGACTGTTGCTATCTAAAGTGGTTGTGGCTTGCTTCCTGAGTTTGAATTATATTTCATTTATATATACCTATTGCACCTTTTAGTTGATAGATGCTTTTTTCCGTTCTGAAAAGAAGCTGTGCTGCTTTAGTTTTTCATTTATTAGGTAATAAATGCTATTGGAGTTTGATTAAAAAAGTGCCCAGTGTTTTTACAGATTATTTACAATTTTCACATTTTGCAGTGACATAAAGAAACTGCTGCTTGATCCAGAGTTTACACTTTTGCAAAGATGCCTTCTAGTTGCAAGGTAGGAGAGATTCATTTAACTGTATAAAGTGTGTGTTAATAAAAATATTGATCATATTAATGCTTATGAACATGCTTAATATTAGCTACAACTAATCCTCCTGAAACTCAAGGTGTTGCCGAAGAACTTCCATTTGAGGTTTTTCAGGATTGGGAATGGAAATGTAACCTCACTGACACATTTCAATTTGTTGGGGGTAGAGAACTGTTTTCAGTATTGGTGGTACTTTTGTAAAAGAGGTTTTACTAACTGGGTAAAACTTGTCTGTATAGTTCCCAAAAGTGTGGTGCTGAACTTCACGTCATATGATATATTACATTTTTATTTCAAATTTACCGTTCTGTGTTATTTTTCTACTGGAGCTGTAGTTAAATTTAGTTGTCTTTTTCACACTTTTTCAAATTATTCCTAGAAACTTGTTATTAAAAGAGGATAGGGAGCAGTAATGACTAAGTGTAAAATCAAAATAAAAAAAGCAGTTATGCTCTGTATGTAAATACATGTATGCCCTCCTAGTTTATGAACAGATCCTTGAATTTGTTTTCTCTTGTAATAATATCCTATTTATCTAGTTTGCTGAAATCCATTCTGTAAATTTTTTTTTTGTAATTTGATGCACTGATAATTCAGATTAGTTTTAGTGCCCACAAGGATGCATCTTTTTATATATTTAGAACATAATTATACAACACCTGTCATATGAAAAGTATCATTGTGTTTCTCATCCAGATTTTTATCTTTTCAGACTGTATGGGGATGAATCTGAACTGCATTTCTGGACTCTTGCTGCCCACTATTTACACAGCTTATCCCAGGAAAAGCTCACAAAAACAACAGATATAGCCATACTTCAGGAAAACTTGATCAATCCATTGGATATATGCTATGACATACTGTGTGAAAATTATTACTTCCAGGTATTTCAAGCATAAATAACACTGGCATGTTTTTGAAATGCTCTTTTCACCTGTTTTATTACTCTTACATTCCTGTCTGTTTTTGTTATTATTATTCTTTGTATAGAAATTCCAACTTGAACGGGTAAATCTCCAGGAGGTAAAGAGATCCACATATGATCACACCAAGAAATGTGCTGACCAACTTATTCTCTTAGGCCAGGTTTGTGGGTAATACTTGGATTTTTTCACTGTTGTTGTTGTTGTACTTCCCTGTCTTTTTATATGCTTATCCTATTTAACTGACATAGTATCTCAACCTTCAAATTTTTTTCATGAATACTTGGATTTTTTCACTGTTGTTGTGCTTCCCCGTCTTGTTATATGCTTATCCTATTTAACTGAGGTAGTATCTCAGCTTTCAGATTTCTTTCACCTCTTAAGTTTAAAATGCAATTTAAAGACATTTTAAAGTGAATATATCATTGTGAAAGTTTTGTTTTGTTTTATTTGTCTTTCCAGACAGACAGAGCAGTGCAACTTCTGCTAGAAACGAGCTCGGAGAATGCACATTACTACTGTGATTCACTCAAAGCCTGCTTGGTCACAACTGTCACCTCCTCAGGTCCATCTCAAAGTACTATTAAACTGGTAGCCACCAACATGATAGCCAATGGAAAGCTTGCAGGTAAAATGCCATTTGGATTTTCCATTTGCTTATAAACCAGTAATTCTCGTTGTTATTATTAAGGCTACTCAGGCAGCTAGGAGAAGAACTTGTCTTGTTATTGTAAATTTTGTATATTTTATATTATATGATACATACCCTGGTTAACCTAGAGATGGGCAACAAGTTAAAAGCAGTTAAAAGTTCAGCTTATTTTGACTTTGGTTTTCTTTTTGTGTGAAACTATATTTCTGGAGTGATTTTCTTAGAATTGTTCTCATGCAACAAAAGAGGTCTAGCTTGTAAAGCTACATATTTTCTGCTTTCCTAATTGTAAATGAAATTTGTGTTTTATTTTGAAGATTTAGTTTCATTAAATTTCAAAACTTATTTCAAAAAGCTTTTTACATGCATTCTCATGTACAGATTATTTTTTCTCAATCTATGAGGTGTTCATGATGAAATATTTAAAGATATGCAAAGAACATACACCCTTTTAGAAGTACTTTTCCACATACTTTTTTTTAGTATTCAATTAAAAAAGATATTTTTCTCATGGATATATCATATTTTTCACATGGATAATGTGAATATGTTAATAATTACGTTATGGACAGCATTAAACTTTTTTTTCCTAAAATAATAGTTTCTGATACATAGAGGTCATGGTATTTTTATGATGAGAAGTTCAGTGGACTTCTTGTCATTTCAACTTATAACAGAGATTAATGGAAAATACTTTGAAGCCCTTCTATGGAAATCCTTAGTACCCAGTTTGTATGGAGAGCCAAGTTGTAGAAACTAGAGTTTTTCAACATCCTCAAATGCAGGGAAGGAATTCAAAAGGGATCTTTTTTTTCTGGGGATGAATGTTCTGCTCACATTTAAATAACAATTCTTTTTGTTTCTTTGTCTTTTAATATAATCTGCTTTTATTTTCTAGAGGGTGTCCAGTTGCTGTGTCTGATAGATAAGGCTGCTGATGCCTGTCGCTACTTGCAAACTTACGGCGAATGGAATTGCGCAGCAAGGGTTGCAAAAGTTTGTAATTTCTCAATTTTTTTTTATTAACATAAACTATCTGCTTAGCATATGTAGATATGAAGGCTGCTGGCACTGTTAAAATTCTCACGTGGAAAAAAAGGAAGCATCAGTTCAAAATAATATGATTAATTCTTTCTATGCATTAATTTATAACAAGCCAATCCATTCAATCTTGAAAGATTCTTTTGCAAGAAAACTGCCATACAGCCTCTTGACACTAGTTTAACGTGAACAATATTGAATCCTGAAAAAGTCTGGAATGTGCAAATTTCTAAGTTTTGTGCAGTGATTTTTCAGGCTATTCAGATAACAGGTATATAAGCACTACTGGCCTATAACTACAGCCGTAGAGAGCCTGCATAAATTGCAAAAACAAACCCACTGTTAGAAATGGATAAATATTTAGTTTGTGACCTTATGCTGAGCTTCATGTAATATGTTTGCTCATTTTAAAATTAGCACTAACAAAATAAATTTGCACCAACTTCTGGTATGTGGACATGCTATGATGTTAGTACCTTGACACCCTTTAATTTTCCATATTAAAATACATAATGGACAAGGGTTTATCAGGATGATATTTGAATTTCTGTAAAGTTTTTATGTTTCTCCTACAGAAAAAACGGAGAAAAATATTTTCTTAATTGATGACTCCTACCCTTAAGAAAAAGGAGGACACTTTGTCTTTCAGTCTTCAGCAAAACACAAAGATTTCTAAGTTCTTGATATTCAAGGTTTCAGTAAAGCCTTGCCATAAAAAAAAATCATAAGGAAATGTCGTGACTTGATTGTCCTTTTTGCTGTACATATTTTCTTTCTTTTCTTTATTGCATTCGCTTAGGGGATGAGCACATTTTTTGTAATGAAGTTGGGAATTTTAAATCATGTTATTTGTACCTGAAGGAATGAGGAAAAAAAAAAAAAAAGGAAAAAAATTAATGCTTTCCTAACACCTGAGATTAATAACTGCATTTTCTGTCTCATAAAGGTTCGCTTGAACTCGGAGGAGTGTGCTGATGTGTTGAAGCGCTGGGTAGATCACCTTTGCTCTCCACAAGTCAACCAGAAATCCAAAGCCATTCTCGTCCTCTTGTCACTTGGATGCTTCACAAAAGTTGCAGAGATGTTGCACAGGTAAACCTGAAAACGCAGTCTGTAGTTTTTCTTGTCTGAAATTGTCATTTTTAACATGCATCTCAGAAGCCAAAGGGATTTCCACAATTTAATTTCTGAGATTTGTTTGCATTTAGAGTAAAGGCTTGTTTTGTTTTGTTTTGTTTTTATTTTCTTCTTTAACTGATATTCATCTAGGCAGTGAACCATTTCTATGTGCCTGTACTGATCTCTCTGTCAGAACTGCAAGAAAAATACAGGCATTCTAATTTACTGCAGGCTTTAAGATAGCTAGAACCTCCCAATTTATAGCGGCTACGTTTTAGCTAATAGTAGCTACGTTTTAAATAAGTGGAGCCTTGATCTTTCAAAAATTTTGTATCAAATATCAGTTCCTTGGGTGCAGGAAGTGAGGTGCAGGATGGTGTGAGAGCAGTGCCACGCTGATGGGTGGGATGGCCAGGCAAGAGGGGACAGTGTGAGAGATCTGCCACAATTTTATGCAGTGTCCTGGAACACTTTTCTGTTTTACTAACCTAACAATTGTTCTTTTCTTTTTTTTTTTTTTTTTCCACATTCAACAGTATGAGGTACTTTGATAGAGCAGCTTTATTTGTTGAAGCTTGTCTGAAGTATGGGGCATTTGAAGTTAATGATGATACAAATATCCTTTTTTGAAAATATTATCTTCTGTTTAGGTATATGTAGTAAGTAATAATACATATGTAAATATTGTTTGATTGAGTTCCATGGAGTCATCACCAGTGTCATCTCATAAACAAAAAAAACCCACTGGTAAGTCATGTAGATAACTCGGTATACATCTGAGCAATGATCAAGTCTTGTATGTTCGTTTAATATCTCAATTTCTTTGCAAGTTAGGACATGGTATAATGCAGAGCTGCTTATGTTCTATTTATATTTTATTTTTATTTATATATTGTTTAATATGTTTATTAATTAATAGTTATAATAGTGTGCAGTCAGATGCAGCATTTAAAGCAACTTTTTTGTCTTGCACTGAGAAATATTTTAGATGGAATTTATATTTATTCCAAGCACAGTATTTGGAATCCCGAACTCATTTTAGGAGAGCTTAGGAATGAGGAAAAACTGGATTCTGAGCTTTTGATTTTGCCTTTTGTTTGTGTTTTCCTTAATCCTTCATTTACATAAACTGATCCATGCTGTGTTTGCAGATTATGCCAGGAGCTTGAAGATCCTGGGCTTTAAACAGGGAGCTATTCTCTTTGCTTCAAAAGCAGGAGAAACTGGTAAAGATTTATTAACTGAGCTTAAACAGCCTAAAGAGGGAGTGGCACAAGAGTAACAATTCATGCTAAAAGGAGATTCCCTGTCAAACAGGGTGACATCAATCAGATTGAGAGTCCACTATCTGAAAGATGAATTTTCTCTTGAATTTTCTATAATAGCTGATATATTTGATTTGAGCAAAAATAGGTAAATATATGTAGAGCCAAGACAAAGAACTGATTAATGATTCACAGTATTTCATTTCTATGTTTAAATCGTCTTCATCTTCAAGAGAAGAGGTGGAAGCAGATGATAAACTTGTACCAGAATTTTTCCAACTTTTTCAACTAAAGCAGAGATGAAATCTTAAAAAATTCTTGTGAGTTCTAAACATATGTAGAAGTCTACACTTCTAAAAATCAAATCTATATAGATCTTCACTGCTGTTGTATTTATATATATGTAAATGACTCAATCTGTACTATAAATATAAATGTATTTAAAGAATAAATAGCGATCACAGTCATGTTTTCTCACATCCCATTTATCTGTTTAAAAATATTGTATTTTAAATCAGTTCCCTATTCTGTCATTTTTATAACTGACTGGAATGGTATTTTTATTGGGTTTAGCTATAGAAATTATGCAATTTCTGAAAGTCCATCAAATATAATTTTTTTCAGTCAAGATAATTGTTGCATTCCAGGTTCTTGTTACATGTACATTCCCTTCACAACTTGGGGAATAAATTCTGCCTTGTGTTGACTGATTACCGGGATCAAAGGACCAGAAAAGACCCTACCTCAAAAGCAGCAAGCATTATGGTCCTGTATAATACTCTTGAGCTGCTGTTGCTGTCTCCACTGTCACTGTTTTATTTCCTATTTGATAGTGTTAATAAGCAATAGATAGAAAAAGCATTGCAGCAAAGCCTAAATGTTGGCATTTTAATGAGGTACTTTTAAATGGTGACAGTTGTTATGGTCCACATACTTGAGGATGCCACTGATGCCCTCATTTTCATTTCTGTGCCAGTATTTCATCAGAAGCAAAATAGCTTTCCACAGCATCACAGTGTTTAAGTGATCGCTTTCATTACTCTTTCTCATGTCGGATGCATCTTTTCTATTTATTACTGAAATCATTGAGAGAGTTTACAGCAGAAGAGTGGATGTGAATGTTAAATCATACTTGCAAATCGAAGACTGAAGTCTCTGAAAATTATTCTTAACTAAAAGACTTTATTCCTCTTTAAATAAAGTTGTTGGAGCTACAGAAGTTTATTATGCAGTAGTGAAAAGAATATCATGTAAAATAGCTCACTTCTTTGAATGTGACTCACGTGTTGTTTACTTAAAGGCTTTAAGGGCATTGGCTTCTCCTTATGTCTGAGTATTTGTAGATCCATACACTTGTAGATGTACACTCCTTTGAGGAGCATCAGCTTCAGGACATCTTCTAACTCCATCATTTTTTTTGTCCAGATCTCAAATAGCATTTCTGATGAAGTGGGAAAGATTTTTCCAATATGGTTATTTTCAATAATGATGGGTTTTATACAAATTGAAAATGAGTTTTGTTGCTCGAATTAGAAAGCTAAATGTTTTAACTACAATTGTTTATTTTTGCCACATATTATGTACATCATAAAGTGCATTCTGTTCAATGTCTTATAAACAAAGCTTATTTAGTTACTCTAGCTTGGAAAAATAAGTATACAATGCAATTTGCCTTAAGTATTAACTGGAAAACAACAAAATTATGCAAAACTACCTATCTTTAACAGTGGGCAAAATTCAGTTTCACGCTCCTCAATTCCTGCTTCTGGTTCTCAGAAGCAATTCTTGCAGACACGGTTACTACCCAGTTGATAGAAGCACACTTGAATTTTGCCCTCAACAAACCATCCAGAGTTCTTGGTCTCTGGGTAAAAAAAATCTGCTTTTGCATCCAGATGGAATGGCAAATTTGAATTATTAATCATTTTTAAAAGAAAATAATTGCAAAGTCCTTTTAATACTGAATGTTTCTATATACTTTTAAGTGTGAAGACTGTGTGATACTCCATGTTGAAACCCATATGAAGAAAACAGAGTGTAAAAGTGATTGAAAATTTCATTTAATGTTGTCGTTACACTACAATAATAAACCAGACTTTGAAAATCTCCTGTATGTCCTGATTTAATACAAAAATACCATTATTTTTACTTGCTCTAAATGGTGATTGTGTTTTTTGTTGTTGTTGTTGTTGCCATTTTGCCTTCCAGACTGGAACTGTGCTCATGCTTAGTTTTAGTAAAGGAAGTCATTATCCTTGATGAATAGTGGTTATATTTTCCGTATTATTAGTAACAAAATGTTGGTTGTAATGTTGGTTAAGGTGGTAATTACCAACCTTAATTAGCAAACAAAGTTAATGGCAATTAAATTTGAGCAGGGTATTATTCATCCTTTCTGGTCTTTAAAAGCATGGATATAAAAATAATGAAAAAAGAATATTTCCTTTGTATTTTCATGCTTTCTGTCTAACTATGCTAGACTGCTAAAACAAGACTTTTCTCCCTGTTCAACAGATAAAAGGAAAGTTTGCATATCTTGACTTTTTTATTTTTCCTTTTTGGGAATCAAGTACTTGTATCAGTGTAGATAAGCAACTTTTCAAAATATGAAATATTGTCTTAAAATGTGGATTTTTCCAAAAAAAAAAAACAAAAAAACAAAAAAACTACAGGTGAGTTTGGGAATTATATTTGGAGTTTTACAGCATGGAAGATGAGAAACTTTTGATATAATATGTTTAAGAACAAACATGAGGGTCTGGAAGGTATAAAAGAAGTGAACTAAAGCAGTAAAAAAAGTTTTCTGTAAATATCCTTTTAACCACTTTAGATCTCTTCTTATAGAATTCCTTTCTCTAACCACTATAAGACGAATGGCAGAGTTAAAATTTGTAATCTGTATTTTCCAGGTTTTGTCTTTTGAAGCTTCTGTCAAACCTGCACTCTAAAATGCAGCCATAATTAAGGAATCTCTGTTTATCCATTCTTGATTTGCAATCCAGTGTACCGAGCACCTTCATCTCTCCTTGAACATGGGTTTTATGTTAAATAAGCCTATTTGAGCTGAGCAGATTAATGGATTTTATGATGTAACTAGCAGTGGTTACCCCTTTTATTATATTGCATGTGTCATTTTAGACTTGAATGACGCAGATTGCCTGCTTTGTAAATAAGTAAAGTGCATACGATTCTGCAGGGATGTATGAGCTGACTTCATCTCTCTGAAGCATTTTGAAATTCTCACGTCTTTTGTGTGAAGCTCATTCTGTCCTACAAACATCTTCTTTCTACATCTCGCGTTTAACTAGTGTCCCCACAAGCTGAGGGAAAACTGTGGATATTATCATGGGATTTTTGTGTTATTCCTGTTTTTCCTGTCTTTTTTTTTTATTCATGATATAATTCTTAAATAACTTGGATTTATTTTCTTTGATTCCCTCTCAAAAAAAGAATATCTAGAAAATAGTCTAGCCGCAGCATTTCAGTGTAGCAAGACCTGACTAGAATTGATTTGGATTGTGGTGTGAGACTCAGTGTAGATGATCTATGCAAGGTAGGCAGTTAAATGTCTAAAATTCCCTAACTTGAGCGAGCTTCTGAAGTATTCTCAAAAAAATTAAAATTTATATAATCGTGTATTTTTGATTCATGGGGAGAAAATGATGAACTATACTATTTTATTGCAGTATAAAACTCATTAGTGCTGTATTGCAAGTAAAATATTTATAATTTACTGTCATGAAAAAAACAAACCTTTTTTGACAGTCTGCCAGTGTAGAGACTCTGTAACCAGATAGAGGCCTATATTGCACATGAAGGAAACGGTCCAAACTGTTGTGATCAATATCTGAGTAAACGAGCTGAGATGTTGTTTTGCAGGAATTGACCCTGGAGACAGAAAAACAAGGACGATCACAGATTCTTGAGCAGAAAGTGGGTTTTATTGGCGATTGCTAGCTGCTGCAAAATTGTGTTCCCAAAGCTTAACTAAAATTTTAGTTGTTGATGAGTAATAATAAAAATTTGGCAGTGTTAACATGAGTCCTGTGCGAGAATTCATTAACGACTTCAGGGTAAGCATTTTGTATCTGTTGGTGAAAGGATTGGCATGAAATCCTGTTGCCAGGATGATACAGACTCATTAGTATGTTGAACTATGACTGTTGATCATACTTTATACTTAAACACTGCACATATAAGCCATAGCTGTGCTGTTTTCTGAGTAGCTCAGCTGGTATTGCTGCAAAGCTGAAATTTCAAGCAGAATTAAAAAGGAAAGAGCTAAGATTAAAAAGAATTGGCAGGCAACATAGTTTTCTTAAAGCAGCATGTTTTATAATTATATATGAAAGTAGAACTATTTAAAAGAATTATGGGAGAATTTTTCCTCGTGTTTACTCTCTGCTGTTTTTACCCAGGACGAAAGGTTATATGGCTTTAAATGAAATATCTAGTTAATTATGACAGTGAAAATTCTTCACTTGCCAAGAAGATAAGATCTGAAATAAAGATTCCTCAAAGCTGTTTGGAGGATTTGGGCACATCCTTCAATGTAGCTATTTCCCATTAAATTCATGTCTAAGATAGCTCTGCAAATCTGAAACTCAAGATCCCTAATGCATGGGCAGATGCTGCCAATACAATTATTAAACCTTGTGCTTCATCTTCCCTGTTGTGATTTTTTTCTTTTTTTTTTTTCTTTTTTTTTCCCCATTGAATGTTGGAGGGACAATGCAAAATTTACCGGACCAAGTTGAATTTGTGCATGTCTCCTTAAAGGGTGATCAAAAGACACAGTCTACTTTTTAAATATATATACATATATATATATATATATATGTATTGCCTTTGGCAGTGTTTAGCATTTACAGACTATTAAGAAATCCTATAAAATTCCATGTATTTTCTTGGAGAAAATCTAGAGAAGATGCATTTTTAGGAAATGTAATGTGATCATCTCTTTGCTAAAGCAGAATAAAGTAAATGGCATGGTCGTATTAATTCAGCTACCTATATTCTCGATGTATAGATGTCAAGTTTATTTTAAGATAGATGTTAAGTATTCATCTTTCTCCTCCCTATCCCCTCTCCCTTTGCCTGTATCATTTGCTAAAATGGTAAGCAGTAGTTAATATGATTCATTATTTT